ACCTTTTGTGCTGCTAACGCAATGCTCTACCACTGAGCCACAGGAGTTTTATTTATTTATTTTATATATTTTTTTGCATATCAAATATTTTAGGATGGATCATTTTAGGATTTTTTCATGACAATTAAAGACATATTTTTATTGTAATGCTAAACAACTTTTCTCATTGTTTCCCACACACACACACACACACACACACACACACATATATATATATATATCGTATTATTATTGTTAATTTTTCATTTAATTATTTTATTATTGCTTTTTTATTTTTATTTAATTTTTAGTACCAGTTTGAGCCGTACTCCGCATCCAGCCACCAGTAAGACGACATCCAATTAGAACACATCGTTTGCTTTAAAGATCAGTGGTCAAAGTATAATGAGAACTTAAATGCTTCAGGAATTGAATGAAATGTTGAAATAACATGGTTTTGAATTCAGAAGGAAATGGAGTTGTTGTTTTTTAATCAGGCACGTTCGGGCCCGTAACAACAGTCTCTGTAATGACCAGCGGCAGAATAGCTCTGAAGCTCCGCCCACTGCAGAGGAGGCGGGGTTTGGGGAAGGAACTGTGGTTAAACAAAGACGAGGTCAAGGTCAGTTTTAATGAACAGAAATCAGCTTTTAAGGGACGAACACACAGGACATGTACTTAATTTATACATTAGAAGAGATGCTGTCAGTTTAAACGCCCCTTGTGGCTGCCTTGCAATTTTAAGTGGTCATGTGTTGTTTTTGCAGGTAGAGACCATCATCAAGCTCATAAGTCCTGGCCGTCCACCCTGAGTGACACTGACAGTGTTGGTCCGGGAAGTGGACTGGGATCCCCGACCTCCAGCACAGGTATGAAACAAATCCAGACCAGTCTGGTATATGGTAATAAAATCGTTTTTAAAAACAATAATGTTGTGTAATGTTTCGGTCTCAGGTGATATCTCAAAACCTTCAAGGCCAGTTTCTGCAGCCACATTGTCATCCAATGAAGATTTAGAGGAGCGAGACGGTGCCATGACCCCGTTTGAACAAAGTGAGTGACCGATTACAGAGAACATCTGAGAAGCAGAAAATTGAATGAATAGTTGAGCCAAAATTAAAATTAGCTAAAAAATCGACTCAACCTCAAGTCACTCAAGATGTGGATGAGTTTGTTTCTTCATCAGATTTGTAGAAATGTAGCATTGCATCACTTGCTCACCAATGGATCCTCTGCAGTGAATGAATGTGAGGAGGTGAGACCATTTCAGTGGATTTATATTGTTGACTGAATCATGTGAAACTGTAGAATGATACCTGCTAATCAACTGATTGTGTAAAACAAGTTTATTGTTCGATCAGATCACTGATGTACAACGTCAAGTCGCATTTATTTATATAGTGCTTTATACAATACAGATTGTTTCAAAGCTGCTTCACAGAAATAAACAGAAAAAAACAATGAATTCAATTATGAAACCACTTCAGTTTCAGCTGTAAAGCAGCTCTAAAGAAGACAGTAGTGTTATTTAGCTTTATTCAGTTCAAGTTTTGTTCTCATCCGATAGTGTAACGTGTGTTTTAGTGTTTTCTGGCGTGTCATAAGAAGTGTCTGGAGTCTCTGGCCATCCAGTGCGGTCATAAGAAGCTCCAGGGCCGCTTGCAGCTCTTCGGCCGTGATTTCTCTCAGGTCCTACAGGGCGACGTGGAGGGCGTTCCCTTCATTATCAAGAAATGCATCACTGAGATCGAGAGGAGAGCACTCAAAATGAAGGTGCGAGAGGAAAGCTTTGAAAAGAATCAAGCTGTTCTTCCTGCATTTTTCTATCTGATTGGTTTGAATGTTTATGTCTGATAAATGTATTGTTATTTGCATATTCATTCTGATTGGTCAGTTTACCTCTGCTATACATGATGCCAACTTCCTAATTCTCACGCAGGCTACCAAAAAAATTCATGTAAAATAGCAAATAAACATATTTATGCATCATATGCATGTGAGATATGCACATAAATTATTGGTTAATTGCATCACTTCCTTATATACTTGTTTTTTATTCATTTTGCAGATTTGAACACTATTCCCAAAACAGTTTTTAACACTTTTAAGCCAGACATGAAATAATAGTCAGAAAAAAAAAATCACATTTTTTGAAATTGAACAGTTTATTAAACCTTTAGATAAAATATAAAAACAAATCTTTAAAAAAGTTTGCATATGCGTTTTTGTTGAGTATAATATTTGATACTGTACATCAGGCTTTTATGGCTCATATAGTCTGATATAGTGAGAATATGGAGGAGAAAACAGCTCAGTTTTATTCTGAGCATCAAATTGAGCAAAAATTTTCAATTTGGTGCAGATGCTGATATTTATTCTGATTCTGATGCCTGTAATGTAAATACAGGCATATTAAGTAAAGATCATGTTCCATGAAGACATTTTGTAAATTTCCTACCATAAATATATTAAAACTTAATTTTTGATTAGTAATATGCATTGCTAAGAACTTCATTTGGACAACTTTAAAGGTGATTTTCTCAATATTTTGATTTTTTTGCACCCTCAGATTCCAGATTTTCAAATAGTTGTATCTCAGCCAAATATTGTCCTATCCTAACAAACCATACATCAATGGAAAGATTATTTATTTAGCTTTCAGATTATGTATAAATCTCAATTTCGGGAAATTGACCCTTATGACTGGTCAATCAAAAAATTGACCCTTATGACTGGTTTTGTGGGTCACATATGATACAGTAGGCATTATAGGGTTAAAGCTTTTCTTTGCGTGTCTCCAGGGAATCTATCGTGTGAATGGAGTGAAGACGCGTGTGGAGAAGTTGTGCCAGGCGTTTGAGAACGGTAAAGAGCTGGTGGAGCTCTCTCAGGCGTCTCCACACGACATCAGCAACGTGTTTAAGCTCTACCTCAGACAGGTGAGTCACCTGACACAGGGAAATGTTCCTGTAATAAAGCAGTGTTGTGGCGTGTTTACTGTGTCATCATCTCCGTCTCCTCCTCAGCTCCCAGAGCCCATCATGCCCTTCCGTATGTATAACGACCTGATGGGACTGGCGAAGGAAAGCCTGAACTCGGACGCCTCGGAGGCCGGCGAGGGCGTGAAGAGCCCAGAGCTGGTGGATCGTGGGTCAGAAACCGAGCCTGAGGTGCTGGTCTTAGTGGAGAAACTCCGAGAGCTGCTCAAGCGTTTGCCACCTGCTAACATCGCCACGCTCAAGTACATCGTGCAGCACCTGTGCAGGTGAGATTCTGCAAAAAACATAATTATAATGTACAGCAGGGTTTATAAACCCCTAGTGATTCACAGAGGAACTGAAGAAGTTTCTTTGAGATATATTAAATTATGATTAAATGTTAAATTATGATTAATATTAAATTATGCCGTATTAAATTGTGTATTTTATATAGTTTTATAGAGCTTTTTGCTCTAAACCTTACAAAAATATTTTTTTAAATGTATCATAAAATATTTATAGAAAGCCTATAACTTTACTAACTCTTAGAGGGTACTTTATTTAATAATAATTATAATTTGAATAATTAAATAATTATAAATAGATTTTAATTAAGTCCATTTATAATCATTTAAATCATCAGAGTTTAGCAGACAAAAAAGAAATTTAAAACAAGGTATGCAATAACAAAATTTGGTAGTTGAGAAATAACATTAACTTTTTTAATTTTTTCATTTTCAATGTCCAGATTTTCAGATATATACATATATACCTTTTCAAGTTGCATTTATCTGTATGAATATAAAAATGAGAAAAAATTTTAAAATAGTGACTGCTTGAAATATCAACTGCAGTTTTCTAGATTTTCTGAAGTTTGCTGTAGTTTATCACAGAACACAAAAATTTTTGTATGATGTTAATGAAAGATTCTTGTTTTTCTCTCGTCAGAGTGTCTGAGTTGGAGCAAGATAATAAAATGAGCGCCAGTAATTTAGGCATCGTGTTCGGCCCGACCCTGATGAGACCCAAACCCACCGGAGCCACGGTGTCCCTGTCGTCTCTGGTGGATTACCCTCATCAGGCGCGCATCGTAGAGGCTCTGATCGTCTTCCAGCAGGACATCTTCATCTCAGTCAGCTCTCCAGGCCAGAGCCAGCGTAATGTATGCGTGCGCTCTGTAGGGATGTTTTGAATGGTTTTTGCAAAATACTCGATAATGTCAAATCGCACATCGTTAAAACAACAATTACGATATTATCGCAGACGATATATATCGCACACCCCTAATTAGAAATATAATTAAAATAAATAAATATTTCAATAATATTTTTATTTTAAATATTATGTTTATTAATATGTTTTTATTTCGCTTGGGTTTGTGAAATAAGAGGATTTGGGATACGTTTAATATTTTAGATATTTTAGTATTCATACATATTAGAAAAAAACTGAATAAATACATATTAAATAATATTAATATTAAAACCTATAAAATATAAATATTTTAATAATGATATTATAATATTTAAATATTTTTTTCACAAAAAATAAATATTAAATAATATTTTACATATATTTTACATATGAATATTATAAAATAATATTATGTATCCATAGGATTGTTAATTTGTCTTGAATTATGTTAGGATTAATATTGGAATTAGCAATTGAAATTTAATTAAAATGACAGATACAATTAGTAGTTTAGTACTAAACTGCTCAAATGTTCATCATATCTTAGTTCAGATCACAACATTTGTTGAAATATTCTCAGTGTGATTTTTTCATAAATCGTGCCGTCCTACCTTTGATCAAGTGTATGTTTGTTCCTCTGGTTCTTCAGGTCATTCCGTGGGTTCCTCTGGTTCTCAGGAGCGTTCGCTGGACTCTGACTCTGACGTGGAGGATCTGGACAGAGGAAGCCGACCGCAGCGCCCTCCTCTGGTGAGTCAGGAGAGTGAGACCAGCACTGAGGAAGACCAGATGAGTCCCAGAGTGAGTCTGGACCTGAGCGGACTGGTTCCAGAGACCATCCCGGAGCAGACCGTCGGTGCAGACCCGCAGGAAACCAGCGCAGAGCAGGTCTCAGATCAGTAAGACGAGATGTATTACGAATTTAAACAGGTCAATATACATTTCAACTATTAGAGATGTACAACAGGAGAACAAGTGTTATGTTTATATACATAAATTCCTAAAAGTCAGATGAATAACATTAAGAATAAGAAGGCGAGCTCATATGACCTCTCAGTGACCTCTCATGCCGTTTTTTCTAGAACTGAGATCAGTGTCGTTTCACATATTAGCTGATATGAACTGGATGTTGTTTATATAATATTGGTCTCTTTCAGATTTCAGATTCAGATGATGGTGGTTATATTCCCTCAATTATAATACGTTTGCGCACTAGTCTGTATAAACCACCACATTCATAACCTGCAACTGGAAAAAAATAATTACTGTCTTTCAAAAACAAACATAAACGTCATTACTATTATTATTTAATAGGATCTCAAGGCGAGTCAGTGTGTTGTAGATATTAAAAGTGCTTTGCTTAAAGTCTCATATTTCTCTATACATTTTTGTTCAGAAGTACGTGTCTCTTTTAGGAGCTTGTAACGTTGTATTTTACAATATTTATTATAGTTTCATCTATGCACTGGAGTTTATTGGCAAATAAGCAGAAAATGGTGTAGCGGTTAAACTGGTCTAACAACAGCCAGACTGCTGGTCAGAGCTGGTTTTAATGCTTATGCAATGCATTATAAAATGTTTATGCATATTTCTCTTCTAAACATTTGCTTCATTTGTAATAGTGTGTATATTGCATTACTGGTGTTGTTCCAGCAGCACTGTACTGTCTTACTAAACTAAATATGGTTTAAACCATGCTGGGACTGTAGCTTCATCTCAACCATGTTAACTAAAGCCTTTAACCATTTGACTTGACTGATAAATGCATAACACCACAGAAATTAAAGACATTTGTGAGTGAATTGTATATTCTGAAACTGTATATATTTTTAGAAAACATCTATATGCAATAAATCTGTAATTTCTACTATATTTGCGATGAATCATTTAGTTTGTGAACTTGTGTGTGCTTAGGTTTGTGAATTAATCAGATCTGTAATGTAGTGGAATATATATTAGAAATAATATAATTAGAATTAGCATATATTTCTATCTTTATTATTTTAAATATTCATGTAATTTTTTAATTAAGAGGATCTGGAATGTAGTGATCTATAAAATAATATTATTCAATATTTATATATATATATATATATATATATATAAAATACGTATATAGTCATAAGTTACAATATAATTTGGGATTTTAATTTTGTTTTTGCCATTAATGCATTAAAAATGCATAAAAAATAACACAGTAACAAAACCATTCATTAAACATTTATTTTTATTTTTATGGAAGTTAAAGATAAATCTAAATTCATAATTGTTGCCTTCGATCATAAGAATCTCAGTCCTCCATTATAAAAAAAAAAAAAGAAATAGACAGCAATGAAAAGCCCGTCACAAGACAAACAGAAATCTAAACATCTGTAGCTCTTGAGATTGACATCAAATAAAAATAAGTATGTGTATGTGATGCATCTATTGTCCAGCTGTTTCACTCGGCCGGATGATCTTCACCATCTGTTAGACAGAAGTCAACACCTTTATAACTAAATACTGTTCCACCACTGTGTGCTTCTCAATGCTGATATCCAGGCGTATACACTTCAAACTAAATAATCTCTCAATCCATGATCGCAAAGCACCAGATTTCAACTTAAAGTAACACAAAGAATGAGTTAATGAACGTTTTCAGACTCACCTGCCCTCGTTTCAGCCCGAAATATCGTGCCTCGGGATCTCCAGACTGAATTCTGGGTAACTGTCTCCTCGAGTTTACTGATTACAGTCAAGAAAAGCTGTTTTGACGTCACAGAGAGCATGCTGCCTCTTAACCCAGTTCACTATATAGTCAACAGTGAGTGAGTTTGGAGCAGAATGACCTCAGAATGAGAGGAAAGAGTTTGGGAAACCTGTTTGGACAAAATCACTTTTGCTTTTCCGTTTGACATCACTTCACACACAGCTGTTGCTATGGTTGCTATGCTATTCCTCTCTGGTCATAACGATGTGCTCAGGAACCAACTGAAGGACAAAGAAAACATTAAGTATGAATAAATTAAAGATTTCCTGTTTAGTTTTTTTTTTTTTATGTAATAATGCATGCAAAATGTGGTAGTTTTTGTTCTTTTAACAGATTGCAGTATTTGTTAAAAACAAAAAGTGGATCCCATTGCAAGAAACAAAAAATAACCCACGTCCAGGCGCTCACATAGCAGGCAAAATATAAAAAGCCTTTATTGTAAGACAGGGCTACATGTAATAAATACATCTGTTAATTGCAATTGCAATATTTGTTAATATAACAAATCTCGATATGCTTTTAAAATAAATTATAATATTTATATTTAAAATATATTTATAATATCTATATTATTAAGGCTTTAAACCCTATAAATGCAGCTAAGCATCCTGAAATTTAAAAGGCAGCTATATATTTTATGCATGAATACCCAGTTTGTACTGTGAAAAATGAATATAAATATGTGTAAAATATCATGTGAAAAAAATACAGTTTTCATTATTACATTTTTTCTATATGTATTTATTTAAATGTTTTTATTATTATTATTAATTTTAATATTTATA